AGAGAGAGAGAGAGAGAGAGAGAGAGAGAGAGAGAGAGAGAGACAGAGAGACAGAGAAAGAGACAGAGAGGCAGAGCGATAGAGAGACATGAAGATATATGCTGAGACATACAATTCTTATGACATCCACCTGGATGAAGTGAAGAAAATTCAAGTAAAGAGCCTTTCCCAAAGACACAATATTGATCTAACAGCCACCCATCGAAAACAATTGCCTGTACAAACCACCGCTCCCCACTTACCCTCTTGAGTTTTTAAAATATCGTAATAATGCCACTACGCAAGACATCAACCTGCATAAAACAACCCCTTTTCCCCTCAAAATGGATGAGTTTTTTTTTTTAGTAAGAGTTTTATGGCATTTGCAACACAATAAGGTCATAGAAGTGCTGAAGATTTGAGGTGTTATAAGACAGTAAAAAAACACAAAAAATGCAGGAGGAGAGATAAGGACGATAAGATGTTTGATAGGAAAGAAGGAGCAAGACCACATCCGCCAACCACCCACTGCAAGAGAGTAACACACACAAAAAAGCAGGTGGAGAGATCAGGACGAATAGATGTTTGATAAAAAAAAGAAGGAGCTGACCACACTAGAGCATCTGCCACCCACCCACAACGGATGAGCATTAATTTTTTCGAAAATTTCAACAACACTCACACATGATGTCGATCTCTTTCGTCTTGGCCTCGCTCTGGTCTCTGGTGGTGTCCACTTTGTTGTGAGCCCCTAGGGCGCTGGTGGCCGGTGACATCTCCGCACTCAGGCTTGAGTTGCTCTTGTCCTGGTCAAAGGCCGGGTTTGTGAAGGCCAGCTTGCCCCCGTTGGTGGCCCCATTGTCTTGACCATTGAGGGAGTCCTCATCGTCGTAAGCGTTGTCGCCCACTCTGAGGCAAATAAGAAGAAATATCATGTGAGGCATCTTGGTGAAATACGCCGCTCGTCAAAATAATGAAATCGAAGATACCAGCATTTTTCAGGGGTTTGGCAATTTTTGTCGAATTTTCATTTTTTAGCCTAAGCCTATCCTTAATTCGTGTTTTACTATCGTATCCATACGACCTGGGAAACTCTGTGCCACCACTTTCCAAAGAGGAAATTTACTTGCTAATCTGATCTGTATGCTTTGCATAGCAGTCTGTCAAAATGATTTTTGGAGAAATACTGAAAGTTTCAAAGAGATCTTCGTACTAGAAATATTCTAAAATGTGAAGAATACAACCCCAGGGGTACAAAAATGACCCCAGGGCGTACGGATTGGGTTAACACCTTTCATGTCCTTTTCAAAACACATTTATGTGTGGATTTACTGAAAAACATTGATTTAAGGCAAAGAAAGTGTAAATTTTCAGTTTTCAAGGACTGTCAAACTATGGAAGTCACCAAACTTTGGCGGCCATGTACTCACTAATTTTATCTCTAAAACCAGGTGACCCCCACCTCCTTCAATCATAATTATCTCAACCTCTATTCAAGATAGTTGGGTATTTTATTTTCATTAAAATATAGACAAATGAACAAACTTTTAACACTTTGAAATGATACCAATAACTCCACATGCCCCCAAATTGATACCATAACATTGTGACACATATTTATACTGTTAGATAAAAATAATAATAACAATAACAACAACAATGATAATAATAATAATAATAATAATAATAATAATAATAATAATAATAATAATAGTAATACATCACTAACCCATATAGTATTCAAAACTAAACTTCCTTTAACCCACAGATGTATTCGAAAATCAAGAAAGGAAACAGACCTAAAAACAACCCCCCCCCCCCCCCCCCCCCTAAAAAAAAAAACCAAACAAAAAAAACAAAACACCAAAAACCCAGGCCCAGCCAACCAAACAAATGAAGAAACAAACAAAAAAACAAAACAAAACAAAACTAAAACAAGAAAACAACAACCTCCCCATCCCCCCCAAAAAAAAAACCAAAAAAAAAAACCCCCCCCCCCCCCGCTCACTTCAAGAAGACTTCCTCCATGGTGGTGGCCGATGTCCCAAAGCTCGTGATGCCCAATTTCTCCTTCTTGCTCTCCAACTCCCGGAACAGAGACGCGAATTTGCTCGACTCGTTGTCCGGCAGCAGGTAGGAAACCTCTCGGTTGATGATGGTCTCCAGCTCCGCACTGGCCACAAACGACTGGATCACGTCGGTCAAGATGTTTATGTCACACTGGTCATCTTTCACCACCACCAGATGATAGCCGGCGCCTGGAGAGTGGACATAATACGTGTCATGAAACGATGGAATCAGGTGCTTATCAACTTTTACTTTTAGATACGACATGTGGAGTTATTGGTATCATCTTAAAGCTTTTTAATTTGTTTTACATATGACGGTATGATGAAAGAAAATACTCATGTGTCTTGAATAGAAGTCGAGATATTTGTGGGTGAAGGAGATGGAAGGAGTTGCACTTTGTCAGAAGTAAAATTTGTGAGAAAATGGCCTCCATAGTTTGGTGACTTTCAAAACTTGACCGTCCATGGAAACTGCAGCTTTCACATTTTATGCCTTAGGTCAAAGTTTTTCAGTAAAATTGACACAGAAATGTGTTTTTAAGTGGACATAGAAGGTGCTAAGTCCATAAAAAATATTGGATAAAAAATTGCCCAACAAGTGAAAAAATGTCAGTTTCTTCAATTTCATAATTTTTACAAGTGCTTGATTACATAACACCACCACACATATCGAAATCCCAGAAAAGTAGCTCTTAAATGATCTGTTTTGTTAATTGATTCAACATGGGTCATCCAGATATCTAAATCCCAAAAACGTAACTATTTGGACAGGTTTAATTCCCCCACTCAAACCTACCGTAAAGTTTCTTGAGGAACATAGAACTCCCGCAGCACTTCAAGACACCTTCGGCCATGATGGCGATCCGATCTCCAAGCAGATCCGCCTCGTCCATGTAGTGAGTACTCAGCACAAGTGTCCTGTTCTGCCGAGCCCGCTGGAGGACGTTCCAGGTCTGTCGACGGGCACCAGGGTCCATGCCAGAGGTCGGCTCATCCAGGATCACCACCTGTTATAGTTTTAGTAAGAGTTTTACGGCACTTGCAACACAATAAGGTCATGTAAGTGCCGAAGAATAGATGTGTTGCAAGAGAGTAACGTACACAAAAAAGAAGGAGGAGAGATAAGGATGATTGATGTTTGATAGGAAAGAAGGAGCAACCACACCAGAGCGCCCGCCAACTACCCACTCACTACCTGTGTACCGCACAGTTTTCAAAAAAGTTTTTGTTAGAATTTTACAGTACTTGCAACACAAATAGGTCATATAAAAGCCAAAGATTAGAGGTGTGGCAAGAGAATAATATACAAAGAAAAGATGGAGTAAAGAAGAGGATACTACATGATTGATAGGAAAGAATGAGAAAAACAATTAAATATAAATAGCATTTAGTTTGATTTTCTTGCTTTGTTTTGCAATATGCTTAATTTAACATAATTTGATTATGAGCACAAATGAAAAGTCAGACACAATATGTGGTGTGACATATTTGATAATATATGGAACACTACACAATATTGCAAGGGGGAGGATAGGCTGATATAAATTGTAATGTGTATGAGAAAAATACTTGCTGTGATTTTAACAGAAAAAGACTTAACACCTCACAAATCAAATTCAAACTGGGCTGAGTGGCAACAGATACTAAAATGTCAACACAGGATGAAATGGGCTTATCATAAAAGTACTGGGGGAATTGAATCATTGAGTTATCTTATACACTGTAATAACTTTGATTAATTTTTGTGACAACACTTATTTCACAGCCACCATTGAATTTCAAAGGGCCTTCCCAAGACTTGTTTTGAAAGAAGGAGGATTGTTTGCAACCACGTCCCATTAAAACAATAGCTTGACAGAAACAGCAACGAGTCATCTTAAAAAAAATCACAGATATGAGCAAGGGGGACTACGGAGCTTCAGCTGAAGAATATAGGATCCACGATAATGAAAACCCATCTCAGGAATCTATCAGACAGTCCCATAGACAGTTAGAGAGACCCGCCTAAGATTGTGAAGACTGGAGAAAGCCATCAGGCAGCCTATGTTCCACAAGGGACCAAACAAGGTAAAAGTGGAATAAGAGAGAGCTTTAATTATACGTACCTTAGAGCCACCAATGAGTGCAATTCCAACAGATAGTTTTCTCTTCTGTCCACCAGACAAACTTGAAGATGGTGCGTACATCTTTGCCTCCAGCCCAACCTCTTTTGCAGTCTCGATAACTTCTGCAGTGAGCTTTGGACCTCCTGCTCCCTTCAGCTGTAAAAAACAATAAAACAAAAATGTGAAATTGTAAAGGTTTGACACCCCTTGCAACACTGTCATGTTATTCAAGAGGAAGGACAAGTGATTTTAATGACCATTTTTGACGGGAACGAGCGAAAAAGGAAAAACTACGTCAAGTTCCTTTCCCAAGGACACAACGTTGCGCTGACCTCAGCCTGAAACCCCTAGCCCATAACCTCACAATTATGAGTCAGGTAGCCTAACATAACATTATTATCATTCTTATTATCATAACATTATTCCCACAAAGAAACTGAGAGCGTATAATATGACAAGTGCACCTACGCATCAAAAACCATACAAATGGTGGAGAGGGATAAGTAGGTGCTGTGGTCTCATCTGATCTGTTTTGAAAACTGACTTCAGTGAAAACAATGGAAATAACGAAAAAAAACCCTACCAAAAACTGGCCTCCTTGAGGCTCATTTTCATGTTTACAGTACCATTTTGATGGGGAACTACTAGCTATGTCCTTTGTGAGTCCTAAGATAGATACTAAAAGATAAGATACATTTTCATATTCCAAATGCAGGCACATTGGTTTACTGTTTCACCTCTCTCTCTCTCTCTCTCTCTCTCTCTCTCTCTCTCTCACTCTCTCCCTCTTTCTCTCTCTCTCTCTCTCACACACACAAACACACACACACAAACACACAAACAAATATGCATACATCACACATACTCTCTCACACATCCTCTCTTCCACACACATCTGTAGACACACACATATTATCAAACAACCTTTATTTGCTTAACTTACCCTTGCAAAGAATTCCAAATGTTCGTTGACCGTCATTGTGTCAAACAGGATGTTGTGTTGTGGACAGAGACCCAAACTGCTCCGAACACCATCGATGTTGTCACAAATGTCGTATCCATTTACAACCGCTGTTCCACTGGTTGGAGGGATGAATCCTGAGGAAAAGTGGAAAGATTTCAGTTACGCAAAAGAAAACTGTAGCCTTCTGGGATCAATTGCCTGGGAATTAAAAAATAACCTTAGCAAACCAAAAGCAATTTGTTACTGCTATGTTTTTCTCTTTCCTAGAGCAGATAAGCAGCTGCATAACAAGAAAAGTGTTAGATTGGAACCCACAGGGTAAAAGATCAAGGGGAACACCTCGAGGAACCTGGAGAAGAGTCACGGAAATGGATGAACAGAAAAGTGGGAAGACGACTAGCCCAGGATAGGGAAAGGTGGAGAGTGTTTGTTCATGGCTTATATCTTGACCCAGGGTGAGAAAGGCAATGATGATGATGATGAGAGTAGACAACTTTGGAAAAAGCACTTGCTGTTTGTCATTCCTCATTGGAAGCTGTTCTGTTAGAGAAATAATCATTTCTAATCGTTCATCAAGTTATCAGTTTTCATAATGAAAAGCAGATACTTGTCTTCATAGATGACAGACACAATAAGTCCTCATTATTATTTCTACAATCTGAAAGTCTACACAATACCCTAAGAAAAATGGAGGACTTGTAAAAACAAAGGTGCAGTACGGAAATCAGAATGGCGTCTGTAGTGTAGTGATTCGATGCTTCGCTGTCACATGCAGAAGACATTAAGGTTCGATTCCCGAGTGGGGAGAATTCTAATTGAATATTTCAGACTTTCTGCTGAGATGTTGCATCCCTCTTAGTACTGGGTTGGCCCTGACAGGCAGGGTAGAAAGCAAGCCTCCAACATGATCTATATTGTGTCAATACAGGGGGATAAAAGCTGTTACATTAACTCTTTAAACCCCGTCGAATGCTGGGAGCATCTGGTGGTAATAACTCTGATCCCCATCGGACGCTGGTAGCATCCGACACTAGTGACAACTGCTGGGTTTCATTTTGTGCTAGTTTTCGCTTGTTTTTAAGAACTATTCCTGATTCAAGTTTTTCAGTAATGACCAAGCCTTTGCTTTCGCTATTTCGAAGTTGGAGGCAAGCTTTTGAGATAAAAATGATATACAATGCACCAGGCTTAGGTGACTGTTGAAAAAAACTCAGGGAAACGGTGCAAAAAACTCAAGGTTTAAAGAGTTAAGGAAAAGGTTCCACAAAATCAGTAACTCACCCGTGAGCATAGACATAGTGGTGGTCTTCCCAGCTCCATTGTGGCCTAGAAGGACCGAGATCTGACCTTCAAACATGTTCAAGGACGTTCCAGCCACTGCGACTTTAGGACCGAACCTCTGTTCAGACAACAAGACACGATCCATTAAAGCAAAATTAACTTGTCGCCTATAACTAAAGACTGCAAAAGACAACAAGAGCGATTAAAAATCTATGTATATGTATGTTTGCCATGGTAAACCAAAGTGCCCTTCTGTGACAAATAAAAGTGTAATTTATTTATTTATTTATTTTTAAAATGTTTTACAACATGATTTAGATTATTTAAGAGGCAGAAGCCGAAATAGGTGTCTTTTCAGAGGATACAATGCCTTATCCAGACTGGAATTTGAACTCACAGTTTTACAGTCACAAGTCCAGCAGTTAACTACAAGACTAATGCGTCACCAAGTAAACTTTGCTGATATGTGCTTCCGTGGCAAACTTAATTAGACACATCTCCTAAGAAACACAGTCTTTAACCATTTCAGGACACTGAATAATCATAATTTTTCATCCTTATCCCTCTCCAAACATAAGCAAATTTTTTGTATACTTTTGTGTATGTAGTGACTGAAGGCCCATCATCATCATCCAGTGCCAGATCTGCGACAGACATTGGCGATCATGGTTCTCCATTCATTTCTTTGCTCGGATGCTCTAAAAAAAGCTACCTTACCCTAATCTTTCCCTGTAACTCGTTTGTTTAGGTTCCCCAAGTAGATTGTTCTGGGCCTACCCCTGCCTCATTTGCCTTCAATTTTTGCCAGTGAGAGCAAGATTTTCAAGACCCTTATGTCTATTCAGGTGTCCCAAAAACAGCATTTATCATTTCCTGATTGTTATTAACATTGAGTGTCCCACGTGGGCTTCATCAAGCACTACCTCATTTGATTTCTTTTACTTCCACGATACTCTTAGCAGTCTCCTAAGAAACCACATTTCTAAAGCTTCTATTTTATTTTCACTGTCTTTAGCGGGCCCTAACATCCTTCTAAAAACTCTTCTCTTTTGGACAGATCCAGAGTACAACAAGGATTTCCACTCTAAAATAAACTTACATAATCAAATGCGGGGAGGAGGAGGAGGAAGAGGAGGAGGAGGAGGAGGAGGAGGAGGAGGAGAAGGAGAAGGAGACGAAGAAGAAGAAGAAGAAGAAGAAGAAGAAGAAGAAGAAGATCATCATCGTCATGGTCATCATGATTATACTCTATAATGCTATGAAACTTCAAATACTCAAGTCTCTACCAATTTTCATGTTTATTTTTTTTATTATCATACTTTATCTGATGATGATGATGATGATGATGATGATGATGATGATGATGATGATGATGATGATGATAACAATAACAATCATTTCAGAAACATGCTCACCTTTTTCAAGTTTTTAATTTGAATTCCTGCATTTACTCCAGTGGGTTCCTTTTCAAAGCGTCTGTTCTGGCCATCCTGAGCCTCATAAAGACTACTGTCAGTTGCTGCTCGCCCGGCTCCACACCAATAAGATTTCTGAAATCAGAGAATTCGTAAAAAGAGAACTTTCAGGCAAAAGATGACGGCTATCTTGATGACATGGTAGAAACTATTAGTCATTGACAACATCCTGAAGAACCATGACAAAATAAATCAATAATAACTATTATAACTTATTGCATTTATAAAACCTCCATCCCTATTAAAAAGTGACCATCCCATATCGTTGACTTCTTTTAGCACTACTTCATTTGGTTTCTCTTCCTTTCATAGAAGTGTACTACAGACACAGAGATCTAATGCATGTAGTAGTTTTTAGTTTTAGTAGAGTTTTAAGGCGCTCGCAACTGCATAAGGTCATATGAGCGCCAGAAGATTAGAGGTGTTACAAGAGAGTAACAAACATAAAAAAGAAGAAGCGGAAATAAGGACGATAGATGTTTCATAGGAAAGAAGAAGCAAACCACACCAGAGCCTTTGAGCCCGTGCCCTTTGGCCTAATGCCATGTTCAAGAGGGCCGCTACAGCTGATGGCTGTCTCACTTCTCACTTATTTGTGGACCAAATCTCACTTAATTCCACGTACATGTATATAACAAGCATAGTGTGGATTCTTCTAATACATTTCAGCTGCACCCTCTCCCCTTCCTCTTAACCCTTCCAGCCCCGTGCACGTATATTTTCAGCAGCGCTTGTACCTCCCACTGTCCCAAGAGCGTATATTCCCAGTTGTTGTTGTTGGTTTTTTTTTTGGTTTTTTTTTTGGGGGGGGTTACCGAATTTGCGCATTAAAACAAATTAAAAAAACCTGATCTAACTTTAATTTTCATAATATTTGTTCATTTACCTTTATACACTGTTTTATGTTATTATTGAAACCTCATTACAAAGTACTACATCACGTTTTAGAATGCATGCCTCTTTCTGAAATACTGCTGTATTGGCTGGGACTGGGGTCAGGGAGTGCACAAAAATTGCTGGGGCTGATAGGGTTAAAAGAGGTGGAGGCCTTAGACATTTTGTTTCCAGCTGCAATGTAGAGTATTGTCAATGATAGGGGTGGGAGGAGGTAGAATTAAGTTGCATACCGTAAAACAAAAGTAGGGTGGTTTGGGAACACCAAACTCTCCCGGCCACACATTGTCCAGGTACCAGGTGATGAGCAGATGTATTCCCGTGTCCACTAGCAGCATGATCATACACTCGAGCAGGCTTAAGTTATCATCAACGGTGGCTGGCTTGTGGAAGTTGCCCCAGTGCGCCCCCTCCCCGGTGCCTTCGTAGATCCCGATGACGTTAGCACCTAACGCCATGGCGCAGTTAAAAAGCAGACTAGCAGCCAGTTTTGGTTCTTTGTCCAGTGTCTCGTAACTCGGCGTGATGAAGTAGTAGGGGAAGAAAAATCCAAAGAACAAAATTCCTGATAGGGCTGCTCCAACATTGGCTGTGGAAAAAAAAAGAGGTAAAAAATTAAGAAATTGGCTGATTTAAAAAAACAGTAGGGAAAGAAAGAATGAGGACGTAATGAAGTCACTGGCAGGTAAAAGAAAGAGAGAAAAGTAATGAAGACATTGGTTGGTGAAAGAAAAGTAACAGAAGATCTTACTTATAGCAGTATGCTTGATACAGCTTTTCTGGGGGGGGGTTGACATGAAGGGTAAGACAAAAACAATACAACAATACTTGAGGTGATTCAACGGACAACGGCTGGAACAGAAATAAAGTAAAGTAAAACATCCTCTGGGGAAAGTGGGGATATAACTTTAAAAAGTTTTAGTAAGGTTTTACGGCGCTAGCAACTGCATAAGATTAAATGAGCGCCAAGGGACGGATGTCAACGGAGAAGTCCAAACGAGGAATCAGGCTTACTTTGCTCACCTCTCTTGCCTGAACAGTACAAAATCTGCTTCGACTATCAAGGCATCCCGGAAAAAGCAGTTCACAAGAGAGTGACAAATATGCAAATGAAGAAGAAGAAAAATAACGATAGTAAGGATGAGGAAAGAAAAAGCAGCAGTTCACCCTGTATTGTTGCAGCACAATATGAGCATAACATTGATAAAACAGCCCATTTACGATTCTGAAGTTCATAAGAACATGTTAATATCCCCCTTTGGGAATGATACAGCTTTGCCTGGGCGGTAAACATGAAGGGTTATACAAAAATAATACAACAATACAACAGATGACACAAGGGACAAAGACTGGAAAAGAAATAAAATAAAGTAAAACATCCTCTGGGGAAAAAAAAAGGGGGGGGGGGGGGGGGAGGTAATAACTTTGACCAGAACTCACCCTGGTAAATTTTTACTTATGCACCCACACATGGATGCATTGATTTGAGGGCTAAACTGCCATAGTTTTCACTGCAGAACACACGTATGGCCACTAAAACCCTTGCAAATCAATTGTTTTCAAGTAAATATCAATTAGCCTAATTGCCAAAACATCAAATCATTGTGAAATGCAGGGGGGCATGCCCCCCCCCCCCCCCGCCCTGAAACCCCCCAGATTCTTCCTGAAACCCCCCATATTGTTAAATTTACTATTTTCAAACATCAATAACTCAATAACTATTGATTTGCGACAAAAATTAATACCATATTCGTGTTTAGCATGCAAAATACTACTAGAAAAGAAGTATATGAAACGTGAACATGAGAGCATAAGTAATTATAAAAAACCCTCACCTTTCTGCACAAATGTGCTGACCATGAAACAAAAAGAGATGAGAGCAAAAGCGTAGAAGAGCAGGAACACGAAGAAGAGGCTGGCGTCACTGTTGGCCAGTACAGGCCCCTTGTCCGCCATAATGTCCAGGCCAAAGAGCAGAGCGTAGACAATCATAGCGGGTACCATGTACACCAGGAACGTGATGAACCAGGACAGCCAGTGCACCGACGCCCGCAGACCCATCAGCTTCATGGATTCCTGGCATGGGATAGACGGAAGAAATAATTAGGGGGTTAGGGGGGTTGAATGATTTTTCTAGTTTTAGTAGAGGTTTTACGGCACTCACAACTGCCCTTGACCTTGACCATCAATGATTTATTTATAGAGGCAACAGTCATCCATGTCCAGATGCTGTTTTAGTCTTTTTTTAAAATAGCTCAACTGCATAAAGTCATATGAGCGTGAGAAGATTAGAGGTGTTACACGAGAGTAACAAACATAAAAAATGAATGGGAGATAAGATCGATAGATGTTTGATAGGAAAGAAGGAGCAAACCACACCAGAGCACCTGCCAACCACCCACGGTTGAATGATTGAGTGAATGAATAAAATGATGAAGGAATTAAAGAACAGCTAGGAGCGAGGAAAAAGTTAGAGAATGAATGAATGAAGGAACAAAATGATGAATTAATTAGAGAATCAAACAATGAATGAATTAAAGGATGAGTGAATGAAAGAAAGAAATGATGAACGAATTAAAGAACAAAACAATAAATGAATTAAAGAGTTTGAATAAATAAAGGGAATATGAAAGGCTAAATAGAAAAACAAACAATGAATAAATTAAAAAGTATGAGTTGGCACGAGTTAAATAAAAAGAAGTACACGGACACAATGATGGTAATTTAGTTACATAGCGAAACAGCCTTTGCGTGACATTATAATATAGTTACAGAAATAGCTTTGCCGCAGCATTATACAAATAAAGAAATACACATGTAGCTTTACTGTTTCATTATAACATACGAATTAAATGTGTCACGACACGGTGGAATCCGGCTCTCGTCAATTTTTTGGCATGTAGAGTAATTGGTTTCATTTTAAAGCTTGTTCATTTGTCTTGATTTTGGTAACAGAATTTCCCACCCGTCTTCAATAGAAATCAAAATATTTCGGATTGAAGGAGGTGGTGGTCACCTGATTTTAGAGGTAAAACTAGCAAGAAAATGGCTGCCAAAGTTTGGTGACTTCCAAAGCTTGAAAGTCCTTGAAAACTGCAAATTTGCATTTGATGTGCCTTTAATCAACGTTTTTCAGTAAAATTCACACTGAAATGTGTTTTTAAATAGACATTAAAGGTGTTAAGCCAAAAAAACAACAGATATTCAATAAAAATTGCCGAAACAGCGGAAAAATGCCTGTTTCTTCAATTTCATGATTTTGACGAGCGCGCCTGATTTCACTACGCAGTACCTCAAATAGTGAAATAGCTTAATTGCAACATTATAGAAACAGACAAATTATTCCAAAGAGAAATTATTTATAATAGCTCTTCTTCAAGCTCACCTTCAACTTTTTCTCCTTTTCATAGACCAAATTTTTGGTGTTGACGATGACGCTGAGAATGAAGCTGAGAACGATGAAGAGGGGAAGGTTATTCTGTATCACGCCGATCATCGGATCTTTGAAGTAAGGCGGGTAGGCGATTCGCTGATTCTGCACGTCCATTTTGACCGAGCTGGGGTCCCCACCGGTCATTTCAACCCAGTATTTGGTCAACGCTTCCCCCACCAGCCGCTGCATGTAGATCACTCCACGGCTCATATGCGCTGAAATATGAGGAAAGAGATTTTTAAAAAATTGTAGGCGTTTTTATGCCCCCGTTGACACAATTTAGATCATTTAAGAGGATGGAAACTGGGGTACTGATTGGTCATTTCGTACCAGTATTTGGTTAAAGTTTCCTCTACCAGC